CTCTTTCTTTGGCAGACCTTGTCCTTCTCTACTTATGGAAGTCACAGATGTTGTCCACCAAAACATATGGCTTCGTAGTGATGGGACGGTGACTGAACATCTCTCGAATTCAACGTCAGCCTCTAACTTCTCCCAAGCTTGTTCCAGTGAATTGGAATATACCAGGTGATAGGCTAAGGACATGAAAACGATTCCCAGTGTAAAATACCTACCAAGTTGTATGTCTTACTGTCATAGGCTTATTGAAATATAATGCATTTATTTTTGGTCTGAGTTTTATTTGGGTTTTTTGAGACCGGCTCTCACTCTGCAGTCCAGACTGGTCTGGAACTCACTGTATTGCCCAGGATGTTCTTGAACTAACTCATGGTGAGCTCTTGGTTCCACCTCCAGAATCCTGAGATTAAAGGTATGAACCACCACATCTGGCTTAAGCAGAGGCAGGTGGATGTCTGTGAGTTCAAGGCCAGCCTGGTCTAGATAGTGAGTTCCAGGCCAGCTGGGGCTACAGGGAAGGCCATGTCTCAAACAAACTATTGTTTTTTATGTTTCCAACATAATGGTAATTAATATACATCCATATATATATGTATATATATATAAATACAAAATCATGATGAAGAAAATATCATTTCACACAGTTACTTTTTCTGTCATAAGAACAACTAAAATTAACTTTAGAAAATCCTGTATTCAATGCCATTTGCCATTGAAGTTCTCACCGATGCCCATTCAATCTCTAGACTTATTTCTCCTATACATCTCCTTTGGGTATATGCCCAAAAAGAGCCACTTCTAGGTCATATACTAATTCTGCCATGAATTTCTTTCAAACAGCTCTTCCATAGGCTCCTACTACACAGGAGGGCTCTGTTCCATGTCTAGATTTTAAACGGAAAGTAAGGGACAGGGACACTGCCAGGCGTTGAACATGTGGAAGCTGAAGGCCACAAATCCTACACATCAGTGTGACTGATGGACAGCATCTCGTCCTGTTTCAAAGTCCACAGACTCACAATGTTTTAGCAATTATAATATACAATCTCACATTTTACCAAGGAGGAATTATGACAACAGTTACCTACAGAACCAATGCAGGCCAAGCCCTAAATCCCTTTGTATCTCACCACAAAAACCTGCAGCTGTATTGACTATCAACTAGGATGATGTTAGGAACAAGATGGTTCAAGGGTAATCTAAGTCATTCTTTATATTTATGTTTCTTTTAAAAAGGATCCGTAATGTAATGTGCACTTTGCTTCTTTGTAGAACAGAAGTACTACTGAGATCTGGGGAGAGTGTTGTTGATCATTTTGCTGTGCTGGGCAGAGAAGGGCTGGCCGTGATTTCTCCCCAAGATACGCACTGTCTTTTACACGCAAATGGAGCATCTAGCTGGATCCTGCTGAAATCTTGGGTCTGTCTGTTTCACCCAGCATGTCAAGAGGAGTGGGATTTTGAAGGAATATCTTTCTTGCAATTGCAGAGTGTGTGGTCTAGTTTAACTGAAAAGGGAATCGAGGTGAATTCCACTTTTTTTTTTAAGAACTATTTTAAGCTGACATCACTTTTCATCTTAACAGAAATATCTTCTAGTTGAATGAAATAATACTTATGGCTTGAACATAGTTGGGTTCTTCCAATGGGATGTGACCCAAGGGTTGGTGGTGGGTGGGAAGTTTGAGATGGGGTTTGAATAGGTAGCAGTTAATGGTATGGCTTGAGCCTGAAATATTACCCAGACATGTGGTTTGAACACTTGGTCACCATTTGATGGTGTTATTTGAGAGGTTGTTGAAACTTTCACAAGTGTTACCTGGCTGTAGAAAATAGGAATATGTTTCTTGGGCTATCTCAGTGCCCTCCTGAAAGTTCTCTCTGCTTCCTGTTCCCCGTGATGCAAGCAGTTCTCATCACAGGATTCTGCTGCCATGACTTTTTTGGCCAAGTGCATGGGGCCAAGCAACTTTGGACTTAAATCCTCTGAAATTGTGAACCTAACTTAGGCAGTTCCAATATGTAAAGTGGGAGGCAGAAACAAGACCATGTGGCTTGAAGGGACAGTTATATGACAGGCATTAACAGCAGTAAGGAAGGATTTATTGTGGCTCATGTTTTTGGGGGGTTTGAGTCCATTACGGAAGGGAAGACATGATGGAGTGGCTCCATGGTGGCAGCGAGTATGCCTAGGAGACATGACAGGGAGGAGCCAGCCACCATGTGCCCCAAGGACCTAGCCCCAGTGACCCCACTCCTCCAGTGGGACTCCACTTCATAAAGGCTCACAACTTCCCAAACAGCACCAGCAGCTGGGAGATGGGTGTTCACAACATGAGCCTGCAGGGATGGAGGGCATTTTACCATCCCACCTTCACAGTCCTCATCTGAGTTCTTCTGATGATGTCTCAGGAAACTAAGTAACTCAGATTACTTATTCTTATTTTTCCAGCCAGTGAAAACTATCAGAAGTCTTATAAAATTCAGGTTGGTCCAATAAAGACATGGAAAGCTGAGGGCAGGCTACTTGATTACACCCCGGGCAGGTCCTCCCTGTCAAATGACAGAGATGGTCAGAGAAAGGCATCAAATAGCTCTTAATAAGTTATTCCAGCCACGAGGCTAGAGAGATGGCTAAGCAGGTAAGCCTGCCTGCCGTTCTTCAAGAGGACATGAGTTCAGTTCCCAGGATTTACATCAAGCAGCTCATGACAACCTGTAAGTCCTGCTCCAGGGGATCTTTGCAGGCACCTGCACACATGTGACGCTGACTCTCTCCCTCTCTCTAAAAATATCCCAGCCTGTTCTACAGAAAGAGTCACCCCACACCTCTATAAAAGAGAAAGAAGGGATTGTGGATTTAGCTCATTAGCAGAGCACTTGCCTAGCAAGCGCAAGGCCATGGGTTCAGCCCTCAGCTCCAGGGGAGAATTATGGAAAGCCATTTCTAATATATTTAATTTTATTGTGAATAAGACAGTCATTTCAGATTAAAACTGTACACTTTTCAGTAGCGCATGGGACCCCAAGAGGGGAAATCAAGTCTTCGTATTAAATTCCCAGCGCTTAGTTTGGCCTAAAGATTAGATAAGAATCTCAGCAAATATTTTGGGATGCACAGGCGACCAGAGAAGGCTGTTGTGTGCAGGGCTTTCCTTACCCTGTGCTTCCAGATAGCTTCAGAAATAAAACCTGAGCAATGCACGGTGGTGCCAGCTTTTAATCCTAGCACTCAGGAGGTGGAGGTAGGTGGATCTCTGTGAGATGGAGGGCAGCCTGGTCTACAGAGTGAGTTCCAGGTAAACTTGGGCTAGAGGGAGACCCTGTCTCCTCAAACCCCCAAAGAATAAAAAAAAACAAACTCTGCCCTTGATTCTGAGATCTGCAGTAACATTCAGAAACATAGGGCATGACAATTCCTGTTGGCCAGTGGCTAGCACACCGAGCGAGTGCTATTGTTTTAGCTGGAATTGTGGTGTCCAGATAGCCAAAGTTTTCAGAAGAGAACACTAGCCAAGAGAGCTGATAGAAGATGAGGCAAAGAGGTGGGCCGGCAGCTCCATTTACAGTTGTTGAGGACCAGATATGTACCTTGCTGTTCGGTTTGCATAGGATGCTTGTCCAGTCTGGACTCCACCAGAATCTGCTTTGCTCTTCCCAAACGAAGTCTGTTGGTAGCTGTGGCTTCACATCTGAGGCTGAAGCCCACACCTTTGTAAAAGCAGTTGTTGTTGGCAAACACCATTGGGGGGTCAACATAGGTTTATAAACGTCATAGCGTTATTGCGATTCATCTTTTCAAACAGACAGGGGTTCAGTGCCATTAAAGACGGGTGGGGAGGCTCTCACCCTATTTACCTGGGCTGGGCTTGAATTCTTGGGCTCAAGTGATCCTTCTGCCTCTGTCTCCTGAGTACCTGTCACTATAAAGGTATGTGCGCTCCTAAGCCT